ACCTTAATATTTGAGCGAACTTGTCGAGCTGTTTTGGGGCGGGGGCTATTTCACCCACCCGTGAAAAGTTTCCGTGAAGGATTTTCCAAGTCTCACACAGAATTTCACAGAACAGCGCTGTTCTTTCAAAGAGCTGATTTCCGCGGATCCGAATTTTCGCCGAGCCCTACAAACACCACTTGACATAAACGGCCGTAGCTAATCACCAAAACAAGATATCAACGAACGAGTTAAAGGAGGTTACTCGGGAAGTTTCCGCGAACACAGTGCCTCCAAGCGGATTAAAAAATAATAAACTGGAGGTGCGCTATTCAATAAGTTCGGGAACTTTTTGAACAACCCACGTACATTTTCTTTAGATTTTAGAATTCACAATAACCATATAAAAAGCAATATATTTTTGTTTATTTGTTTATTATATACTGTTGTCCAACAGAAAAGTAAACTATCTTATTTACAAATCTTTTCAAAGTAGACAGTTTGACCGGGCCCTTCTAAAAACCGGGCCCTAGACATTTGTCTCATTTGTCTATGCGATGATCCGGCCCTGCTAGTACGATAATAAAAGTTAATATATGAAAGTAAAGATATTATTTTTACTACATTTGTAATTATATTACAGAAAAAACTCACACATTATAATCATTGTCTTTAAATGCTAGAAAGAATTAACTTTGTTAATTAATACAGCAGCCTACCGCTCTGGGGGATCCAGGTTCGGATCCGGACAAGTAGATAAATCCCCAGGAATTCTTCGAGGGGGCGGTCCGTCCTGGTAGCTCCGTTCCTCATCACCCAAGTGGGCCTGGCCGGATAGTGAGGGATGGGGCTCCCCTAATGGGCTTGCTAAAAGAGACCCTCTTAGTGCCCACAGAGCGGAAAGAGTTTTAAAAAAGTATATGGGGTTATTATAAATGAAATGTTTTTCCACAATAATTCAGATTTAACAATAAATTAAAAGAATTAGAAATTGTCCAAGTTTGTGTTATAGAACTATAGATGTTGTATGTGTTCCTTTGGTATCACGACACATGTCCAAGTGGTAATCTAGTTCATCTCCTTATAGCATGTTTTCCTGGATGGTCATAATTGCAGCGGTGATGCAGTCCCGGAGCTCTGCCTAAGATGTGAATAATAGCGGCACATAAATCGTGTCCTTCACATATCCAGACAGAAAAAATCACACCGTGTGAAGTTTGAAGATGTGGGAGACATCTGTAAGCGCTAAATCACAGTTACTGCAATTCAATCCAACGACGTGGGAGTTCTGCGTTCAGGTATCGGTGCACTTTAGTATGGTAATGAAGTGGAGCCATACTCTGCTAGAAGAGAAATTATCGGAAATGTTTTCTTCTGCATAGCCACCATTTTGACAATGGACATCCTGCAATCTCCTGTTGAATTGTAAGAAAATCTTCACACGTTTATTTCAAATTTAATCAGTTTCTCTTTCATTTCGTGTCTGGCGTGGACAAACCAGCTTGATACTTTGAAAGTTATAGGACTTCATGTTTATTTGTTTGTTGTTTGTTTAGTTAAGTTACGGCAACGCAAAACTTGGGCGATCTGCCTAAGGGGAGTGCCTTTCGGGACGTCCTTTAAGAATAACTGGTCTCTGGTGGGACTACAGGACTTTAAAAACCGAAGATTTATTTGTAAAAATTCTGTATATTTGAAAATATTAAAGGCTGTAATTACTTTCCATTTCCATTGTTTCAGTTTGAATGGTTTGTTTTTAAAATATAAAGTAATATCAATAAATATTTTGAATTAGATGGCCAGACACCCGAGCAGTCAAAGTGACAGTCTACCGCTCTGAGGATCCGGGACCGAATCCTGACGGGTCGAAAAATTCCCAGAAATTTTTCGGGGGTGATCCGACCGGATATGTCGGTCCCCGTCCCTCACCACCCGGCCGCTCCATTGTGGGCCTAGCAGAACTCATAACGGGCTTGCTAAAAGAGGCACTCTTAGTGCCCACAGAGCGGGAAGAGTTAAAAAATACATATATATTTTGGCTATCGAATTGATGGGTGTTTCGAGTTTTTGGCTAAGAGTAGTTATGTTCTAGAATATTCTGACTTTTTATTTAATTCTGGACCGAAAGATTATCAAGCAAACTATCACATTCATTTTCGGAATAAAAAAATAAATTAACATTTAAAGATTAAATAAAACTGGAAAAGACAAATAATATAAAAAAAGAATTTTGATAATAAAATTTTAAATAATTAAAAAAAAATTAAAGTTAATTTTTTCGGGAAAATAATTATTTTAATTATCACAATAATAANACAGAATCCGTTAGTAGTTAGTAGGAACCTTCCTGACGGAATTTTACAGTATTTCCGTGTTTTGGTTTGTCTTTTAGTTTCTGCTGTGATTGAGAAGTTGAATTATAACGGTTTTTAATATTTTTCTCTTCAGATTTTGAAAGGTGAGGCTTTTTGTAAAATATATGATGAAGTACAATTATCCTGGACAATATTGAATGTTCGGTAAAAGTCCATCTTTATGTTAAATTTAGTTTTTGTCTGAGAATTGGGTTATATTCAAGGCTGTGGAGTCGGAGTCCTCAAAAATTCCCCACGACTCCGACTCCTTTATACTTTCCGAACTTGTTATGTATATAAAATACGAAAAAGTATTTGAATCGTGTCACATTTGACCCTCTGAGTTTTTTGCAAATCTATACGTTTAGGGATCTCTCGAACTCAAAAAATGTCAAATAAAGGGAAAAGTTCGCGTGCGCACGTGTATGTTGGTGTCTAATTTGTTTAATTTCTTTATTCTGTTCTGAAATATTGGTAAATTATTGAAAATTTTAAAATTAAAAAAAATAAATTCCGAAGAAAGAAACATTGGAGACCTGAATGGTTAAAAATCGGAATCGTACCAGAAAAACTTACAGAACATCTGAGAAAGACTCTAGAAGTGGGTCGAAAACGTTTTTAAATAGTAACTGTAAAGCTATACAAGGTTAGTATGCTGTATCTGTAATTATCGCTTTGTTTATTAGATGGATTTGAGAGAGAGAGGGTTAAGGATCACCCTGAAGAACTCAGTTTCTATTGTACTATTTTAGATACGGTATTTTGTGCTTTTGCGAAAAATTGAAAATATTTTTAGACTCATCAAAAAATTCTCTAATTAGTCTTGGAAGAGGGGGGACCTAATTTTTGCACCCGGTGAAAACAAGTAAGATCGACTATAATCTAATAATCTTAATCCTCGTTATCATTACTTTTTGCCAGAGCAACATCTGGCTCATCTACTGGTTTGTTTTTTTTTTTTTTTTTTATAAAACTTGTCTCTATCCTCAAAATTAAGTTTGAATTCTAATGAGTACAGACAGAAAAGGAAATCTTACAAATTATGAAGATGATATTTACTATGCACTGGAAAAAGTAAATCACATTGACCACTCTTCAAGTCAGGATGTTAAATTGGCAATACTGCACTATCCAGACATTATCCAAGATACAGGATACAGCATTGATTGTCACAGTATTGCCACTAACCAAGTTTCAGTAGAGTGTTTATTTTCCACTCTTAAAATTATTAAATATGATTTAAGAGCTTTAGTGAATGCTGACTTAATAGAGGTGACTATTTTGTAAGGAGTAATTCAGTTTATAACAGAGATGAAAAATAATAAATTAATCAACATGGCAAAATAAACAACCTTTTTCTTTACCAGTCTAAATGTTATATTTCTTATTTTTGGCTTAAGGCTGCTATACACGATGGGTTAATCCTCAAAGGAGTAACCATGCATGCCTGATTTTGAGTCATTCCTGAATGTGTGGGGGGGAAATTTAACAGTTTCGACGAACTGTACCGACCACCTGAGTAGAATCGGCCATATTCTTTAGGTTAATTCTCAAAGGAGTAATCATGCATGCCTGACCTTTATAATTCTTGGTAGTTTATGGGGTACAATTTAACAGCTTCGGCGACCTGTACCGACCACCTGAGTAGAATTGAAAAACCATTTGATTTTCCTGGCGCAGTGTCAGACTGCGCAGGCCGACCTAAACGTGTGTGAGAACAATGTCTCGTGAATGTTTGGAAGAATTATTTTCTATAACCTTATTAACTTTTATTATTTATAACCTAATAAATTAATTTTTCAGGTTATAAATTATTTTCGGATCAAAAATTTCTTGAGTAAATTAAAATTATAAATAATTTTAATATTTAGAAAACTTCTCAATTCATTTCTTCCGTTTTCATAAAACATCTTGATACTCTTTATCATTTTCTTCTACATTTTAAAAAATTTATTGTTTTAATATCCAAGTAAATTAAAACATGACAACTTAAAATAAGACAAAGTTTAATAAATTCTTTTTAATTATTAAATTATAAAATTAATTTGCGATAATAATGTTTACAATTTGTACTAATATCGGATGTGGTTGAGAATTATTAATATATATTCGTCTATAAAATTTAATCCATGAATTTTTTTGGTAGTAAAATCGACTTGCCATTGTCTTTCGCTGATAATTGATGCTTTTTAACATAATCTATAGCCCAAGATTTCTCTTGAAAAATTAATTTTGTGATCTGAAATAATTCCATTAAAAAATTATTCGTATGAAAAATTAATTTTGTGATCAGTGCTACCCAAACCACTACTACTACTATTTACACCATAGACTTCTATGCATACTTTTTTCCCGCGAGTTTTAATAGAATTTGTTGCCAATAAACATCAGTGGCGTAATAATAAACACAATGGCGTAGCGAACATAACTGCACCCGGGCCGTGACACTATATTGGCACCCCCTCCCCCTCCAGAAACAAATTTTGTTATTCTTGGAAACCATTAGGTTCCCCTCTGCCAGTGGCGCCCGGGGCAAGCTGCCCCACCCTCTGCTGAGAGGTTTTCTTCGTTTTGGGCGATAGGAAATTCGGAAGTTCCTCAAGGACAGGCAGCCTCAAAGGATTAACTTATCGTGTATAGCAGCCTTTAGTTTAATGTATAGGTAGCCCCCGTATTACATGGCACTTCTATAGCATGGGCTCATTCTAACATGGTTTGGGAATTGGGTAAAACCTTCATACAGCATGAAATGTAATAAAGGGTGTTTTTTTTATACCTCTGCGTAACTCCATGCGAGCATTCTAATTGTTTTCGTGGCTACTTTGAATGCTCTTACAATTAGGGACCCTTCTTTTGCCTCTAAAAGCTCATTTTAGAATTATAGATTCCTCCATCACGATACTATCAATAGTGTGGATGCTGCCATCTTTTTTTCACCGTCGTTCCTAAATGCCTACAAACAGCAGCGCACTCCCATTGCAGAATGACCGCTATTAACGAACGCATCCAAAAACTATTACCAGTTGATGATGATCATGCTGAGATCATCATATAGGATGAATAATCCTCTGGTAAAATATTTACTTAAATAATAAATAAGTATTTTACCTATGAAAAAAATGAATAATAAATCCAATTTAAATAAGGATTTAACAACATGTTTTTTAATTTTTGGAACCTAACCCCCCTTTTTGCACTAGTTCTTTGTTTCGTATAACACGGGTTCACATAACAGAGCAATTTTTTGGAACATAACTCCCATATTATACAGGGGTTACCTGTGTCTGTATACTTATATATTACCCAATATGCTCATTTATTATATACAACATTTTTATAAAACTAATTTGTTTGTGTACAAATTTACATTTACTATTTTTATTCATACATGCATACCAAATACCATTGCCATCATCAAACAAGTCAATAAATGTGAATTTATATAGTCAGTAGATGTGTCAAATTTTAACGTTTAAATTAATTAGATTTTTAAAATTGTTTAATTTTGTATTTTTCAAAATAATCAGAATCATTGTCATTATTACTTTCCTGGCAGTTATACAGTATAGGTCTATAACAAAGGAAAAGAATGACAATCAATCAAAAAATGATTTTCCCAGATTTTTACTCTTGGACTTAGGAAGCCTTGAAGCGTAGAGAAGTGCAAAAGCATTTGGAGTTTTTCTGTACACAATGATGTTAGAATGTGTACCAATTGATTTAGCTTTTTTTTTAGGAGATATTAAGCTTAACTGATTTAGGAGTTATTAAGTTTCAACCATTTTGAAGCTTAATAACTCTTGTGTTAAACCATCTGGCTCCGATTCAAAATCATGCCTCCCATACAGTCTAACATTCGTACATACAGAAAAAAACTTGAATGTTTTGTAATCTCGATATTTTGAGATGTCCTGAGTCCAAAAATGCAAAAATTTGGGGTGGGATCATTTTTTGACAAATTGCTACACTTTTTCTCTGTTATATATAACAGCCGGAAAAGTAAAAATTATTGAATACATATATTACTTAGAGGAGTATTTTAGGTTTGGAATAAAAAGTTTCTATATTTTATCTTTATTAGAACTATATATATTAAAGCTTATATTCTGAGGTCATCTGATGACATCAGAATTTTTGTCCCTACTTTGTTATCAAGTTTGCCCCATGTCGGAGTCAGAGTCGAATGGTAAGGAAAAGTCAGTTGGAGTTGTGTAAAAATCTACTGATTTCACAGTCCTGATTATATTCTACCTAGGTGTAGTCCCAATGGTGGTGCCTTAGTTTGTTAGGTTAGATTAACTATATTTTTAGTAGACGTCTCCTTTTTTTTTTTTCTTTTGTTCAAGAACTACTGTGAATCAATAACTAGTGATGTTAAAGATTCGGTGGCCTGCCGGCAGCTCCCCTTCAGGAGAAGTCAGTCAGGAGCAGGAACAGTCAGAAGTGCAGCCATTGGGACTACCTACGTAGACTTTGGCTGAGAATTATTCGTTATATTGTCCATTGTTAGTTGACCTGATTGTCTCACTTAATCTGGGAACATTTCAGACTCATTGATCTTTAATTAAATCAAGTTTTATTTCAGCTTCATAAAATTATATACAAATAGAAAAAGCTTGACATATTGTAAAGAAATTTGAACCCATTCGAGTTCATTTAATAATGTAACTTATAATTTGATTTTGAAAAGGCGTTCAAATTCGGTTACACCTGAAGATGGTTTATTGCAATAGATTGAAAACCAAAACTGAGTTTGATTAGTGGTTTTTGTAATTTTTACCACTAGTTAAAATTCACAAATGAATGAATTTGATGTTTTAGAAGTCAAAAAATAATCAAGATTATAGTTCTGAATGAGGGGATAATGGCTGCGTTCGGAGAGTCGACAATTACAACTGAGCAAAGATGCTTCAATTGGTAGCTGTTACGTAGTTACATGTGCTGAACGATGAGTGATGTATGCATTGGAACAAAAAGCAGCTGTCAGTGGTTGGTTTTGGGTAGCATAAATGAAAGACACTACTAAATTGCTGCGTTTGGCAGACTCGACAGTTCTAGAGCTGTTGAGTATTTTTCTGCTGAATGCCCTCTACAGTAGCTCTCT